CTGGCATGCATATGTCCTAAAAACACACAAGTGTCCAAAGCAACTTCTAAATACTACATTAAAAAGAATAGAGTGTGTCCAATTTGTGCCCTTTTGCTCCAGCCTCTGGTGCCGCCCCCAAAAAACCCTGTTTTGGGGAGTCCCACAACCCTCCAGAACAGATTTTCAGGGAATGCTGGGGGCTATGGGGGATATCAACACCACCACCCCCTCCTCCATTAGTGGATGCCTGTGCTTGAGCAACAGCACTATGGTGACGATTTAGATTCCACCCAATGTCTATACATGGTTAGATATTAGCCCAGTTTGTATATCATGCTAAACCAAGCTATGGTGTAACTTGTACACACAAGTATACAGACTCACAGAGAGAACGCAGTCCCTTTGCTTCTCCCTAGTCATTTTGTTGCTGCATTGCACTGAATTGGCTTACCATGTTGTCCAAACACAGGCTCCAGATAAATAATGAACTATAAAACATGGTTTCAATAGACCTAAACCACAAACCCGGGTTTGACTGCAGCTAAACCAAGCCAAGGATTAGTTCAATGCTGCAGCAGAACAACTGGGGGGGGGTGCAATCTTCTGTCCCAGAGCCTGCATACCCACATATTCATGCTAAACACATATTTTTTTAGTCTGGCCCGATGCATTAAATTTTTGTGCCATGCAACATTGTTCTGATTGGATAATCTGAGAGGGCATGTAAGTTTAGAAGATACTACATATCCCATCAAAGCCTTACTACTTTGGGAAAATACATTTTCTCTCTTTCACACTATCAGTTGGGAACGAGGTAGGGCTTATGGGGTATATTGCTTCTTTGAGAGAGTATCTTATGAAGCTCTCTTCACATGCGAATTTTAAAAGACCACTTCCTCTGCCACTTGGAATTCAGCGCATTCTCTACCATAGCTTAACCAATGTTCAGTGGCAACACTACAGACATTATTTATATGGCACTGAAAAACAGGGAGAGGCTCTGATAAATTGTTAGTGCAATTTATCAGCTGGATACCAAAAGTGATGTGTGTATAAGTGAGCAGCTGGATCATCAAGTGTGCCAAGAACCACTTCCTTAAAATACAGTGTTCATGTATTTGAACTTTGGCTTTATTTCAAATCATGCTTGTACTCCAGAGAAGTGACTATATAGAGCTGGCATTGGAAGGACACCTCTGTTTCAACCACATTTACTTGGAAGTAAGTACAGTTGCATTCTGTGCAGCCTACTTTCAAGTAAAACCCCATATATGAGACCAATCTATAAGTGGTATGCAAGCTTCCAAGTTCAGTTGAATTCTTCTTCAGGATATAAGTTAAATAAAAGGAGGAAAGAAAAATATATTTATAGGCAGAATAGGACATCTAGTTTGCAGTTTGCAATAGTCTTAAAATGGAATGTAAGAGATGTATTTCCATATTTAATTAAGTTAGACTGTGCCTTGGTATAAAAAGATATCAGGTATGCTGAAACAAAGAAGCAATGACCTGTTCTCTTTCAAAATATCAAAGGCAACATAATTTCTCTTTCCCCATCCCCTTTTTACATTCATTGCATCTGTTTTGGGAAGGGGGATGGCTCAATATCCAGTTTAAGAAGCGTCTGGGTGAAGCTGAAAATTTGCAGACAACTTAGACGGAAATCCCAAGCAAGTATCATTGAACTCAATGAAATTTACTTTAGAATAAACATATTTAGGTGTATAACATGTTAGCTATATTTGGATGCCCCCACCAGAAAGCGTTATTTTACTATCCCAAATTGATTTCCCCCCCCCTAAATATGAGGTAGTAAATAATGCATACTTATAATAGTGGATTATTTAGTTACTATCCCTCTTTCAAATGCCTTTAGTGAAAATGTTCTATACATTATTTTATTGGTTTAAGAATCTTGACTAATGACACCATCTGTGCACCCCAAAAAGATACGATCCACCCCAACATGGGCTTCTGTGAGGTGGGGCCAGGGGCTTCTTGCCCCATTGGGTGAGTTACAATAACCAGGTTCCCAGCTTTCATTTTGCTAAAAAGTAAATTTCTAGCATTTGTAGGACCTGAAATGTGATGCAAGTTGTGTAGGCCCTTTTCTCCTCATTTGTTTTGTGAGAAACTAGTCTCCTCTAGCCTTTCAGTGTTTATAGCCAACGAATGAAGTAATAGTAATAACTGACATATAGGAAAGAAGATATAGCCAGTTAGACAAAGAAGGCTAGAGTGAAACAAGCATTGTCTACTCAAATATAGAAAAGGATCATGGTTTGTGGTTCATTTTAAAGCCTTTTTAATCCCTGGTGGGGAAGAGTTTACTGCCCTGTTGAGAACAATTGATTGAGGTATCCAAGGTTTTACTACAGCTGTGATAAAACAGTGGTGTGCCAATCCAAAAACAAAAGGTGGCAGCAAAGACAGGTACCAATGAACTTTCAAACACAGGTCTTTTTCACGCAAAAAAAAGAAAGAATAAAAATGAACATTTAAAAAATTACTTTGTGAAAGCCAAAGCAGACAAAGTCCAGCATTTTTAAACCATATTTCAGAGGACAGGGCTATGGTCATCAGAGCACAGATTACACCAGAGCTGCAAAGTAACCCAGTGCTATTCTACACATTTTGCCAGAGGGACGAGGTTACAGTAGTGCATGACAACCCTGAAGTGTAGGCCAGTGTTATTATCATTGCGTGTTAGGGGTGGTGGTTAGGGAAATGTGCAGAGAGCAGCTGTGAAGTCTGTGTAAATAATTAAGGACTGGGGGTGAAGGTAGACAGAGAAAGAACTGAGGGTTTTTGTGGTAAGTGAACACACATTCCTGGATGCCAGCTTTGCCTGGAGATGGACAACAGTTCTACCCATGGAGACATTCCTTTCAGTTACAAGTTTTTCAGATGCAAGATCTTTTCAAGACTTGCTACTATTCAGTTACCAGATCTACCAGGATTAGGAGACCTGCTTTCTGAATCTAGTTGTTTCTTTGTTTATTTAAATAAAGTATTTACTTCCCCACCCCCTGTGCTGAAATAATTCCTGACTAACAGTGATCCAATATAGGGCCCCCCCGCCGTTTTTCAAGAGCAGTAACAATGAAGGAGCCATTTACACTTCTCTGACAATTATAACAATGATGTGATTTTGGGTGGACCATAATGCAACATATTCTTCACAGCTACAGTGACATGGTTGGCCTTTAAAGGAAGGAAACATGCCGCAAAGAGAGCACATGTGTTAAATGACGAGCCATCGCAATAATTTTCCTTTTTAATCCTTACTATAAACAGAAGTAACTTGTCTACCTTTTCCAATGAGGAAGTTCTATTCTATCAGCACAAGAAATATATGAGACTCAAACTAGAAGGAAGCTAGGGAGTATGAAGTTAGTAGAATTAAAAAATTCAGAGTGTGCTCATTTTTGCGAATAAACTTGACCAAACAGGAATTGAAATACAATATTCACAACATGTGTGTATTTGAACTTTGTAACTCAATCTGGTCTTTCAAAACTGTTTCTGGGCAATAGCTTACTCCCCCCCACACACAAAAAGGATCTAGTTCAAAATGTGAATTATCAAGCCAAAGCATTCTTTCATCTCCTTTCCCTCACCAGAGCTGAAGATAGGAGTTTCAATGTAACATTAGAATATACAGGACAATGCTTAAGTCAAAAAATTAAGCAAAACATATTACAACCCTTATGGTCTCTGGAAGAGTATCCAGGGGACCATTGGGATATTGCTGTCCTCTCCCTTCACAGGCCACAGGGACGCGGGTGGCGCTGTGGGTAAAAGCCTCAGCGCCTAGGGCTTGCCAATCGAAAGGTCGGCGGTTCGAATCCCCGCGGCGGGGTGCGCTCCCGTTGCTCAGTCCCAGCGCCTGCCAACCTAGCAGTTCAAAAGCACCCCTGGGTGCAAGTAGATAAATAGGAACCGCTTACTGGCGGGAAGGTAAATGGTGTTTCCGTGTGCTGTGCTGGCTCGCCAGATGCAGCTTTGTCACGCTGGCCACGTGACCCGGAAGTGTCTCCGGACAGTGCTGGCCCCGGCCTCTTGAGTGAGATGGGTGCACAACCCTAGAGTCTGTCAAGACTGGCCCGTACGGGCAGGGGTACCTTTACCTTTACCCTTCACAGGCAAAGAAGAAAGCCTGGCTCAAAGGCCTCCTCAATATGGCCACAGAGGTATCCTCCTGCCACCCTCTTGATAACACAGCCCCTAAACAAGAAGAAAACTACATCAAACCTCAAAATGACAATGAATTCCACCACCCATCACCTCTGTGGGAGCCAGTGGGAGGGAGGGAAATTGAAGGGGGGGAAATCAAATGCACAAGAACACCAGAATTGGCAGGAGAAATCCCTGCCCCCTAATTTCCACACTGACTGGTGAGTATGGTAGGGCTTGGATAGCGCCGGCCTACCCATGAGACAAGGTGAGGTGATCACCTCAGGTGACAGGATCCAGAGGGGCATCAGATTCTCAATGTAGATATTTATTCCCCCTTTGCTACTGATGTAGATCTTTACTCTTTCTTCTTCCATGGTGGGGCAGGGAGGTGCCCATTTTGTGGTTTGCCTCAAGGGCCAAAATGTCTTGGGCCAGCCCTCGGCTTTGATATGGTGATGTCTTCACCACAGCAAGGATCGCTCTGGCAATTGACTAATAAAAGCTCCTTGCATTGTTATACAAATAAGCATGGAAGGATTATTCAGAATAACAGATGCAATAATTTCTCCAGCTGAAAAAGTAGTTTTTACCGGCTGTAACACTGAAGTAGTATAAAATTGTATAATATTATATGGTATTTATTGCCTTGCATATGACCCTGTATAAAATGGGGTGCTTGCCCTAAAACGGGGGTCGGCAACCTGCGGCTCCAGAGCCGCATGCGGCTCTTTAAAGCCTTTGCTGCGGCTCCGGGGCAGAGGCGAGGGGCGGAGGCGAGGGGCGGAGGCGAGGGGAGGAGGCGAGGGGCGGAGGCGAGGGGAGGAGGCGAGGGGAGGAGGCGCATTTTCTGGGCGGAAACACGCAAAAAGCCGCTTATGATTGGATCACTCCCTTATCTACTGGGGGCGCCTTGATCGCGCCGAAAACCTCTCCGTTTGGATTGCTTGCTGCCTATCCAAGTCGATTTGCTGCTGGGAGCCCAGCGCGCTACGCAAGCTCATCGCCGCATTTTACCTTTCCTGGGGAGGACTCGGCGCGCCTGGCGGATCAGGTTGTGGGCGGATCAAGTCGCGGTCACGTGGAATTTGTGCTTTGTGACTGTTTGAGGTGGGTTTTTTTTCTTGGGAGGCTGGGCGGCGCGAAGAGAGGGAGGCTTGTGGTAGCGTCGGGGCTTGTCTCTAGCAAAGTAAGTCCTTGCTATTTGGTCACATGCGCAGCATTCTCCTTGTGGGGGTGAGGTGGCTTCGGCGTTCCAACGCTTGCCTTGCTGGCTGCTTTCAAAAGCGTCGGAATCAGCTGTGCTGTTGCTGGGTAACCAGATCGTCCCAGCAGCCATCTTATCTGCCCATGTGGTCTTCTGAGGCGGCCGCCATCTTACTATAGGCAATTCCACGTGGGAGTTAGTTGCCTGAAGCCCCTTTTTAGTTGCCTGAAGCCCCTTTTTAAACTTAAGCAGGGGAAAGTTTGGTGAATAGCTAACACTTTCCTTGGGGAACGTTATGCAACAGCTTATTGCTGGCCTTTGTCGTCCCGCCTTTGTAAGCAGGCTGCATTGAAAGGGGGCATATACACTGGTCACTGTTTTGAAGGGGAGTGAAGAACACACACTCAAAAAAAGGTAACTTGTTAATTTAATGTTTATTTCTATGAGGAGGAGTAATTCTGAGGGGGCAAACAAAGAAATAATAAAAAGTGTCAAAAAAGGTATTTTTATAATGACGAATGCCTCATTATTAATTATTATTTACATCAGGCACTGATTATGATTTATGGTACACTGGGGCCCTGATTAATTTTCTATGGCATTTTGGGGCATTGATTATTGGGCATAGCAAGTCGCGGTCGCGTGGAATTTGTGCTTTGTGACCGTTTGAAGAGGGGTTTTTTTCTTGGGAGGCTGGGCGGCGCGAAGAGAGGGATTATTTTTATAATGACGAGGATGACATTGGGCCCTCATTATTAATTATTATTTACATCAGGCACTGATTATGATTTATGGTTCACTGGGGCCCTGGTTAATTTTCTTTGGCATTTTGTGGCATTGATTATGCAGTTGCGGTCGCGTGGAATTCCACGTGGAGTTAGTTGCCTGAAGCCCCTTTTTAGTTGCTTGAAGCCCCTTTTTAAACTTAAGCAGGGGAAAGTTTGGTGAATTGCTGCCAAGGAGTGTGGTGGAGTCTCCTTCTTTGGAGGTCTTTAAGCAGAGGCTTGACAACCATATCTCAGGAGTGCTCTGATGGTGTTTCCTGCTTGGCAGGGGGTTGGACTCGATGGCCCTTGTGGTCTCTTCCACATATGTATGTGAGCAGGTCTTCTCCAACATGAACTATATTAAAAACAAACACCAATCACGCCTCACAGATGACAGCTTGCAAGCCTGTGTGAAAATGAAGGTGACGTCTTACAGCCCTGATGTGCAGACACTGAGCACTGAGGTCCAGGAGCAAAAGTCCCATTAACCTGGTTACCTGGTTGTAAATTAAATATTTTAATTAGCTATTAATTTGTCCTTTTTTCTTGAGATTGACAGCTGACTGCACGATCCTGTATATATAGCATTAAGGCAAGAAACAATATATGCAGTGTTATATTTGTTTTAAATGTTGCAATGTTTTTGCGGCTCCCAGTTGTTGTTGTTTTTTCGGAAACGGGTCCAAGTGGCTCTTTTTGTCTTAAAGGTTGCAGACCCCTGCCCTAAAACAATGGGATGTTAGCTTCATATACCATTCAATATTCTCAAAAACATAAGCAAATTGCATTGATTTACTAAATGGCAAAATGTGATCATGCAGACCAAACTGTAGCGAGCAACATTTTTAAGGTATACAACTCATTCACTACATAATTATATGCACGTCTACTTCCAGATAAGTGGGTATAGGATTTCAGCCTTAGAAACAGACTGAAGTGCTGTTCACAGCAGTACACTAAGTAAAGGTGGTTCCTAGGTGTAGTTCCCAAAATAAAACAATAAAATGTCGCTCTGAAATGTGCTTAGGTTTGTTACCTTCGAGAGCATTGCAGTTTCAAAATCCCTTTAATTTAGAACGAACTATCACGAGGCTTTGTTCAAGCCTAATCAAAATTAATGCAGGCTGAGCAATAAGACTGCGCCCTTTTGGCTGTAATTCTGTATCATTTTTGCCTGTAAAAATCCAACAGAGTTTACGTGCAGAAGGATTCCCCAGCCTTATCTGATATGGCTGAGAAATCCTCCTATCCTTTTCAGTCCAGGCAGTTCAAAGCAAACAGGCTGTAGACAGCTGTCAAAATGCAGTCTCCCAGAAGCCTTTATTGTAATAAAACTCATTAAGAAAGGATATTAATAGAAAATATGATTTGTCATGTTTCAAAAAGCTAAATGGAAACAAAGGGTCTAATAGGTAACCTGATCAGTCAAAATTCCCTTAAACATACTCTCTGCACTTGAAGTAAATACTCCAGAGTGCATATATTTTGCTACATCGGAATAAAACATCAAAGAAGATGGAATGGCAAAAACTAGCTGGCTGACTGCGAGTGCTTAAATTCTCTGTGTTTATAGAACTATGCCGGGATGTTCAAGGTAATGAATATGCAACCTGTAAATATCTCAAAGTAATGAAAGATGAAGGGTAATAAATTCTCTAGAGAAGAGAATCATCTTACCGATAGTTCATGACAACTGTTTCTTTCTTAGACACACTTCACCAGGGAAAAATAAAACATGCCTTTTCAGGTACGTATTAGGAATATAAGTGATCTCTGATTTCCTGTCCAGAAGCAGAGAAAGAAACATGTCACTGCAGTTTTTAATCTGACTAGAACTGACAGAGGAGTCTACTATGATGTATGCAGCTCAGAAATCAGAGATAATAAAACTGACATATCTCACTTTACAATCTTTCACTGTTCTTTGCTCCAGCTGGCAAAGCATGGCTCTTGGCTGCATTTATTTACATTCAAATAGTTTGTATAGCTTTATTTTATAAAGCTTTGCCTCTAACACTGTGTAAACTATGGCTGTTGTGAGCAGCTTTCATATAGGAACCAATCTTGGAAGGTTCTGTTGCATTAAATGAAACATTAAAATGTTGCCCCAATGGATTTGGAAACCCCTGGGACTGGAAGCATTGGCTTAGCTACCAGAGCTGACATCTATTCTAGAAGGGCATTCTTAATACTGAGCCCTATACATGCATTCCTACTAATACAATAACTAATCACCTAGAATAGGCTCTCTCCACTGCTCACTTACCCATTCCTTTCTGAGTGTGTACTTTCCTGACTCACCCTTGGGTTTTTGTGTGTGAGGGCAGGATAGATATCTACAAACTACTAAACCATAACTTTAAATGTTAGAATTTATCCAGTAAAGGTAAAGGAACCCCTGACCATTAGGTCCAGTTGTGGCCGACTCTGGGGTTGCAGCGCTCATCTTGCTTTATTGGCCTAGGGAGCCGGCGTACAGCTTCCGGGTCATGTGGCCAAGATGACTAAGCCGCTTCTGGAGAACCAGAGCAGCACCATTTACCTTCCCGCTGGAGCAGTACCTATTTATCTACTTGCACTTTGACGTGCTTTCGAACTGCTAGGTTGGCAGGAGCAGGGACCGAGCCACGGGAACTCACCCCATCATGAGGATTCGAACTGTCAACCTTCTGTTCGGCAAGAAGAAGAGTTTGGATTTGATATTCCACTTTATCACTACCTGAAGGAGTCTCAAAGCGGCTAACATTCTCCTTTCCCTTCCTCCCCCACAACAAACACTCTGTGAGGTGAGTGGGGCTGAGAGAACTCAAAGAAGTGTGACTAGCCCAAGGTCACCCAGCATGTGGAGGAGCGGAGACGTGAACCCGGTTCACCAGATTACGAGTCTACTGCTCTTAACCACTACACCACACTGGCTCTGTGGTTTAGACCACAGCGCCACCCACGTCCCTAATAATTTAGCCAGTACTTGCCCCCTAATTTCTCATTCAGCAAAAAAAATAGGCTCAAATTCCCAGAAAGTCCTTATTAAAACTAATGCTTTTGCTAATGGCATGTACCTGATCAAATAACTTGGTAGCATTTGCTATATCAATTCAATAAAATGTACATAATTAAAATTCCTTCGAAATCACACTCATTTGTTTCAACTAAATAGCCATTCCGCCTAGCACCCTTAAGTGTATCCATCTTTGCAGCTATATTTTCTAGAGCTCTCATTTCCCTTAAATTAGTTTCCATCATAGAAGTATCAAATATAAAGTGCAAAGTCGTATTAGCGGCAATACATCTGGTGGAACCTTCAATTCCATTCCTGCTGGATTTTAGGACACTGTGTGAAAGCTCTCTGCTTGGGCAGGACTTCACAACATAATCAGATTGAGCCTCATTGTGGGGCATCTGCACACCAGCACTGCCAGGTGTTTGTATCTTTTCCAACAGCTATGTGATGTAGCCAAATGTACCAAATGTTTATCATGCCTGCCACTTTAGCAGTATAAATTAATAAAATGTAAGGTATATTCTGCTTTTTCCCTTCCCCTTTGAGTGGTATCTCTGTAACAATTCTGTAACATTTTTAAAAAAAATATTTAACTCTCAGACTATTCCCCCCCCCCAATCTCATAAGCATGCGCTGTAGATTAAGTGTTGTTGCTACTTGCTCTGTTAGGCATGCATTAATGCACCAGGGGACCTGTAATTTATTCATGCTATTCTGTCAACCCCCTTTGCAAGGAAACAGGACTGGAAAGGTACATTACTCTCTATTGCCAAGCTCAGAAAAGAGCAAGCAAATATTCTCTTAACTACTCTATTTCAGCCCTTTGCTTATTTTCAGTATCATTTATATTCTGATCTAATACATGTGGCCCCCCATTTTAGGCTGGATGTCCTTCTATTCTAGCCTGTAATTAGGACAATGGCAATGAAGGAGAAGGAGGGGTAGACTGCATAATAAAGGAGAGAACTGAATATTTGTTTATTTATTTAATATGTGTACTTAGTTAAAACTCACTAGAGTGATCATATTTCTTATGGAGTGGTGTAAGTATAACCATAGCCTCAGTATAACTACACTTAACTACCTCTGGAGCTGCCATCTTTGTTACTTTCCCCTGTTTCTCATACTTTAATTGGAGCATGGCAACCTAAAATGTAGGAGACAAGCCCCCCCCCCCTTTATCTCTATGATAGGTAAATCCTTGCCTGATTAAATTCTGTTAATGACACAGGAACATGGCTTTAAAAGTTTTCTTTTTTTAAAAAAAGTTACAGCCCATTGTTTGTGTAACAGATTCTAGCTTCCTATAAATATAAGCTTCACTCTTTTTCTGGAAAGTTTTTCTAAGGACAAAAGCAAAATAATATAGGGAGAAGGAATTCACCCGTTCTAGAAGTGCCTCTGTTGCAAAGCAATTGCAAGTACTTTTGCGCTCATCGTGAGATATTGGCTTGTGAATTTCTCTTGCAGTTTTTATTCTCATTATTGTTTGCTTATCTTATGGTCTTGCTTCTCGCCTTGTGCGTCTCAAGATAACCTCATTTTCATCACGGCATGAATACAGCAATGAATGTGGCCACAGAAAGAAAGAAAACACAGCTTTCCTCAATAACTACACCAGTGCAATAATACACAAAGCCCTTTGC